CAGGCCGTAGGACGATGCATCGCAAGCTAACAAATTTTCTTCATTTCTATCATAATGAGCCAAGTTGATGTCAACTCTGTTTTTATCCATTCAAACGCGACGTCGCATTTTTTTACCAAATAAATTTATTTTCTTTCATACTCTCGTATAGCGGTTTCAATTTATTGGCTCTATCGGGTAAAAATCTTGCATAGTACGTTACTAGGCCTATGAACGATTGCAATTGCTTCGTGTCTTTGGGCCTCGAGGTGTCAACAATAGCTTTACCTTCGTGAGAGATTTGTGTAATCTCTCTTTATCGATAATAAACCCGAGAACGTCCAAGCGTTCCTTACAAAAATCACATTTGTTTATATTTACTCTTAGCCCACTATCTTCAAGCCGTTTGAAGGCCATACGAAGCGTTTGCAAGTGTTCGTCGTCATTTTTGCCGGTACAAAAAATATTATCAAGGTACAGAATAACGTTATCAATTCCGGCAAGGCATTGCTCGATTTTCCGTTGAAGGCTATTTCCTCAGTCATTTTCGTATATCTGTATAACCCCTTATGCGTAACAATAGTTATTAATATCTCGAACTTTCCTCTACCGGAATATGCATATATGCGTGCTCCAAATCAATTTCAGAGAACTTTGTACCGCCGCTCAGCGGATGACGATCAATTACTAAACACGGGTTTATTGTGAGTTTAAAATTACCACAGATTCTAATTGAGTCATCCTTCTTTATCACCGGTACGATCGGCGTTGACCACTCGCTGACGTCAATCTTCTCAAGGTGTTCTAGTTTTACCAACCGATCTATTTCATTCTCTACTTTTTCCATTTTGAGCACGCCTTTATTATATACCCCTGGACCAAACAACCGCGGAAATTTATTTTTAATATCTTTTATAACGCCGACGAAATCAATTGTCTTATTACAATTGCTTTGATTATTTACTAACTCTGTCTCTAATTTTAAAGGCCACATTCCGAATACACATAACCATTGACGACCTATTAACGTCGGTCCGGGCCTTGTCATTACTACCATACTTAACGTTGCTTTAAACCCCTTAATTTCTACTTGCAAGTTGTCTAGAAATCCATCCTGTTTGAGTGGAATCTTACCGTACGTGTTCAACTTCTTGCTTGTCTTATTAATCTTTATCGCGGGGAACAATCGATCTTTAGTTTCTCGCGAAATTACCGACATATAAATGCCCTTGTCAACTTCCATATTTACTTTGATTCCGTTTACCTTGACATTTATTGACATTGGTTTCGCTTTGTTATTACGATTTATATTTACGATCCCGACCCCTGTGGTTCTCGCGTCGCTATTTGCCTCCAGAGTGAAGAAATCGTAGGTCTCCCTCTCTTCCTTGCCGCCATCAGCCTCTCTATCGAGATGTTGAAGGTTGCCCCGCTGCTTCTTCTGTTGACATGCTGTTGCCAAGTGCCCTATTTTCTTACACGTATTGCAAGACTTACAAGGGGAGGTCATGACGTTTATATCCCCGATTTGGTTAAAATTTTACGTACTTGCAGTGCTTAAAAAGAAACTCTTATGGACCAAGCCGTAGGACGCGCTTTTCAAGCGTCTTCGAGAAAAAGCGATTTGAATATTTGCAATGTGAATATTTATTATTTTGATTTCCTGCGGCTCGGGAGCTACGTGTTTTCTTTTTTCTTCTTTCAAAGAGAGTGAGAAAGAAAGAGAGATTTTCATACTTCATATTGCTGCAAGTCTACTTTCATTGCTTTCTTTTTTTTCGATCTGAGTTCGAATTACTTGTCGTCAGAATTATTATATATCGGAACTGAGGTTTTAATAAACAGACCACGGATTAACTAACAAACAAATATGTATTTGGAAGATAAGATGTGAGCGATGGGCGGCTGCCGGGTAATTGCGGCTCGAGTCGCGTCGTAAGGAAATCAACAAGATTCGGGGCAGTTCGGAGTAGTCACACGCACACTGTGTGGCTGTAGAGCATACATAATTACTGCCGAGCATCTCGAGACATTACATTTTATATCGATTTCCTTCTCTCTTTATTTTTCGCATGTATAGAAAAATTTTACTTTTATATGTTTCGTATTTCTGATCGATTCAGGAGTTTTCACAATTGTAATCGCTGTTTGATTATCACAATAGACGACAGTAGGATTCGATTGAACGCATTGCAAATTTTTTAGAAACTTTCTGAGCCAAATTACTTCTTTAACTATCATGAAGAGTGCCATGAATTCTGCTTCAGTCGTCGACGTTGCAGTAACCGTTTGTTTCTTTGATCCCTATGCTATCGGTCCTGCATTTAAAAAACATACCCAGCCTGTTGTGCTTTGTCTTATATCGACGTCTCCTGCATAGTCTGCGTCACTGTATGCAGTTAAAGTTGTGTCATGTGATTGCGTCAAAAGTTATTCCGTACTCTGTCGTTCCCCCTAAATATTTTAATACTCTTTGCACTTTACGCCAGTGTTCATACTTTGATTTTTCCATAAATCTACTTAATTCTCCGACTATATACGCTATATCAGGCCTAGTGCTTATCATCAAATACATTAACGATCCTATCGCTTGTCTATAAGGATAGTTTTTGTTCTCTTTGGCATTTTCACATACATTTGAAAACTTAATGCCTGGATCGGCAGGAGTGGAGACCAGATTGCAATTTTCGTGATTAAACAGTTAAAATTTTATTCGCATATGTACTCTAATAAATTTTTATTTTTCCCTCATCTCGACTTCTCTCGATCTGTCATCATCAACAATGGCTCTACAGCCCGAATCGAGCCCTGGCCTCCTTGATGCTTTGCCCCCACTCCTGCCGGTCTATCGACGCCCTTCTCCAGCTCCTAGTTCGTAGAAGTTTTCGGTGATCACCAGTTACGTTGTCTATCTATTTTGCTCTCGGTCTTCCAGCACCACGCTTTCCTCCCGGTTGTTCTCAAAAGACCTTGGCAACCCGGGTATCTGGCATGTGTTGTACGTGCCCTGCCCAGCGAAGGCGCATCAATTTGATGTGAGTCGTGATGGGGGGTCCCTATATAGCTGGTATAGCTCGTGGTTGTACCGTGTCCTCCATACTCCCTGGTCGTTAGTAGGGCCAAAAATCCTTCTCAGGATCTTTCTCTCAAACCTGTTTATCAGGTCACAGGATTTCCTTGTAAGGGTCCACGCTTTACTGCCGTAGCAGATAATTGTGCAAATCAGCGTTTTATATAGGCGGAGTTTAATATCTCTGTGGGTAACTCGGGACTTCAGGACTGGCATTAGCAAGTACAGTGTGCGATTGCCCACTGTTATTCGCTTTTGGATTTCCCGAGTCTCATCATTTTCAGAGTTTACATTGGAACCCAGGTAGGCAAAGTCATTCACCACTTTGAAGTTGTGATCCGCCATTGTAATGTTCTGCTCCATCCTGTCTCTCCTTTTCTTGCTTTGTACCATCACTTTGGTCTTGGATTCATTCACCCGTAGTCCTATGTCCCTCGCTGCTGCTTCGAGATCTTGGAAAGCTTCCCTCACTGCGGCCACCAATCTACCAAGGATGTTGAGGTCGTCAGCATATCCGACAACCGGTACAGACCTGTTCATGAGGGTTGAGGTAACGCTTTCACGTTAACTGTCGTTCCCCTCATTACATGTTCAAGGATCAGATTGAAAAGCATGCCAATCCATCCCCCTGTTTCAATCCTACTAGCATTTCGAACTCTTCTGACTTCCACTTTCACCCTGCACTTGGTGTTCAACATTGTGCTGCGGGTCAGTCTTACCAGCTTAGGAAGTATGCCAAAATTCAACATGATAGTGTATAACCTGTTTCTGTTTATACAGTCATATGCTTGCTTGAAATCTACGAAAAGCTAGTGAATATCAATGTCAAACTCCCAGAATTTCTTATAGATCTGCCTGACTGTAAATAGTTGATCCACAGTTGAGCTTCCATGTCTAAAGCCAGCCTGATACTCCCCTATGATGCCTTCTGTGTATCCTTCGAGTTTATCTTTGATGATGGCCGTGAGTATCTTATATGCGTTGCTGAGCAATGAAATACCTCTATAATTCTCGCCTACAAGCTTATCTCCCTTTTTGTGGATGGGGCAGATGACACAAATTTGCCATTCAGTTGGAAGTTTCTCTGCATTCCATATTTTTACTAGAAACTGATGGAGCTTAATCACCGGGTGTTCTCCGCCGTATTTGATCAAGTCTTCTGATATGCCGTCAATGCCAGATGCCTTGTTATTATTCAGCCTATTCAGTGCATTACGTGTATCCTCAATGGTGGGTGGGTCTATGCCATGGTCGTCGCTATGGTCGTTGCTGCTTCTCTTCAGCCTTGGGTCGGTCGGGGTTTCTTGCCTATTTGGGTTCAAGAGCTCTTGGAAATAATTTTTCCATCTTTCCATGATCTTTTCCTTTTTCGCCATCAGATCTCCATTCTGCGCTTTGCAGAGATTGGTCTTGGGCTGAAAACCTTTCTTAAAAAGGTTAACACCTTTATCGGTTAATACGCTTTCCTTGAGTTGTTTTTTCTGAAATCTTTTTCGGCCTTTGACATGACATCATTCAGAAACATCCTCTTTTTTCTATTGATGGTAGGCGAACTTCATGTTCGCCTTCCTTCTAGAGTCCTCATATGCTACTTTCTTTGTTCTTGTAGGTCTCTCCAGATACTTTCTTCTGTCTGCATTTCGTTTCATGGCTTGCATACATTGTTGGTCAAACCATTCGTTTCTTGTGTTTCTTGGCTTGTGGCCAAGTACTGCTTCTGCCGATGTTAATATTGCACCTTTGACGTATTGCTAGTCATCTTCAATCGTTGTTCCTTCAATATTTGTATTTTCTAAGGTTTAAAGTTTTGTGCTCAATATTTGCTGGTAATGGCTTTTTATTTCTGGATTGTTCAACATGGAGCTTTTTTAGTCCTTGTATTTTGGATGTTTTCCTGCCTGATATGCAGTACCTGTATTGCACACTCACTATACAGTGATCCGACTCACAGTTAGCGCCTCTGTATGTTCTGACGTTCGTGACGCTCGACGCTCCTCTTTTCTCTATCAGGACATGATCTATTTGGATATGCGTCCTTCCATCCGGGGACGTCCATGTCCGTTTGTGTGTCTTTTCTAGAAAACTGAGTTGACATCACCACCATGCCTCTAGAGATCGCGAAGTCCACCACACGCATTCCATTGTCATTACTTTCAGAGTGAAGACTATGTCTGCCTACTACATCCCTGTATATCGGCTCCCATCCTATTTTTGCATTAAAGTCACCTACCACCAATTTGATGTCGTTGAACGGTATTGTGTCATATGCTCGTTCCAGATCTTGATAGAGACTTTCTTTCCTTTGGTCATCTTTTCCTCTGTTTCTGCGTGAAAGTTTATTATGGATGTGTTGAAGAAAGAACCTCGTTTTAAACCTCAAGATGCAAATTCTTTCACTTATGGGTTTGAAATCTAAAATGTTTTCCTTGTAGCCCTTTTCCACTATAAAAGCCACACCAAATTTGTGTCTATTGTCATCTTTACTATAAAATGTTGTGTGTGTTTTGGTGTCAATAATACCATTGCCCTTCCATCTCGTCTTCTGTACTGCTAGAATTCTGATCTTATATTTTTTTATTCCTCCAGCGTTTCTCTCAAAACACTACTCTTGTACAGGCTACGCACATTCCAAGTTTCAATAAGTCCGTTTTTTGTTTGCCGGTTCTGTCGTCCGTTCCGGTATCCGAGGCTCTGCTTAAGGTTTCGTGACCGCTTTTTTTTACGGGGTGGAGTTGTCAGTACCACGCCCAACCCCCTTTTTGGAGGATCATTTCTCCCGCTCTCGTCTGCCCTGACCCTGTTTCCCATGAGTGAAGCCCAGTTGCGCATAAAATAAATCGAACACAGTAGGAAACGGACACAAAACGGTTACAATTGTACACAGTGATAATCGGACACAGTGCCAATCGGACACAGTAGGAAACGAACACACGATAGTTGCAATCGGACACAGTAACAATCGGACACATTGCCAATCGGACACAGTGATAATCGGACACGGTAAGTAACGGACACAATACCAATTGGACACAGTAGGAAACGAACTCCTATACCTGTTTTCGTTTGTTGACGGCTCCTTGTCAGTCTTGTTTACTGGTTTTGTTAATATCTTATTATTTTTCAGAGATGGTTTATTTTCTGGATATGAGACTGTTCCCTTGGTATGGTAATTTCTGGATAATGTTATTTTCGGGGCCCCTCAATGATAGGTGTGTTTGATAGATCTTTCTCTGAAAAAAAGAATGCCGCAAATCACAATGCGCTACGATGCAGTTTTCGAGATATCGACTTTTAATTGTAATAATAACAATATTGTTGTACGGTATTACATGGGTTTGCAATTTACGGGCAACTTCACTGATTTCAATGACCTTGATATGTTGTTGATATAAAACGAGGTGCCACATGGGTTTACAACATTTCACGCGTGGGAAGCCGACGCATGTACTTTGAAGGCACAATATGTGTCTAGTGTAACAATAGTGGAGCCCCTCGCAGGAGGGCGGAATCTACTGTCTCCACGCATACACTTTTTACGCAAAACGAGGTGCCACATGGGTTTACAACTTTCCACGGGTGAAAAGCCCACGCATGTACTTTGAAGGCAACTATATGTCTAGTTTAATAATAGTGGAGCCTCCTGCAGAGGGACGGAACCTACTACCTTCACGCATACACTTTTCACGTAAAACAAGGTGTCACATGGGTTTGTGGTGTGCTTTATGAGCTCGTTTAAGTAGAGGTGGCATTATTAAACAATATAAGTTAGTCAATTATCTGTGTAAATATTTGTGGTGATATACAATAAAAAGAATTAGAAGACCCATTAGTTGCACACTCTTTATTTTTAATAAATAGTGTGAAAGAATAAAAGATCGAAAAATTCACCATTTTTGGATAAAGACGTGGATGTTTCGGTAGCGACATTTTGATACTAAATTCTACACTGCCTAGTGTACACTAGACTTGTATACTACACGTTTGAATAATAGTAACACGTCAAACAAAGAGAGTAGTATGAATAGAAATGTTGTAAGTGAAAGGTAGGGGGGAGGGCAGGTGTTAGAGAGGTCACTGCTAATTTTGTGTATATTATTATACTACGTGATAGATTATATAAATTGATATTTCGAAAACTATGCATCGTAGCGCATTGTGGTTTGCGCATTCTTTTTCTCAGCAAAAGATCTATCAAATACACCTATCAAATTGAGGGGCCCCGGAAATAACATTCTTGCCTAACTTCTGTTACGAGGTGTGGCTGTGGAAAGTCATTAAAGATTACATCTCTGCGAATAAATACTCTCTTACCTATTAGATCGTAGACTCTATAAGCCTTGTTCCCTTCGCTGTAACAAATCATGAGACATTTTATCAAATTCAATTCCCACTTTATTCTTGTCTCCTTTAGTATGTGAACTTAACAGTCGCTTCTAAAAATTTTTAGATGTTTTACAGATGGTTTCAAATTATACCATCTCTCAAAGAGCGTTGATTCTTCCAGAGTCTCTGATTCTGTCCTGTTTTTTAAATAAACTGCGGTGTTAGCTGCTTCTGCCCATAGATAGCGAGGTAAAACTCGAGTATGTAACATAGCTTTAGCTAATTCTAGAATGGTTCTATTTTGGCGTTCAATATAACCATTTTACTCAGGAGCTCGCGGTGTTGATATCTCGTGCTTCGTCCCTTTAGACAACAATAATTGTCTAACAGTCGTGTTGCAAAACTCCTTTCCGCCATCAGTCCTCAACCTCTTTATTACATGTCCATCAGCTTGAACGTCCGCATAGAATTGTTTTAAATTTCCCAGAACGCTCGTTTCTTTGAGAAAGTATATATGTAGCAATATCTTGAAGAAATCATTTTTCAACAATAAAAAATAATTTGCACCTCCTATTGATTGTGTGCTCATCTTTCCGCAAAAGTCAGCATGAAAAACCTTATCTGGATTTAATGATCTTTTTGCTCCTGTCTTTGGAAAAGGTTGCCTGTGCTGCTTACCATACACGCAGCCTTTACAAAACGGGTTGTCATCAGCGCTGTACTCAATCGATGTAGATCTTCCATTGTCTTCTTCTCGTGCATCTGCTTGAGTGTCTTGTAGTTGACACGTGCCCCAGCCGTTCATGCCAAATCTGCAAAAAGTCATGAGCTGCCATATTCGCTTCCACTGTGTGAACTAAATGTAGTGCGACGCCCTTTTCCGCGACTGGGTTGGAATGCACGGCTGACGGGCGTGGCAAACAATTATTCGGTTACTCGAGCACTAACAAAAATCAAAATCGAAATCTGTACACACAAAAATCTCTAAAGACAATATGGGCGCCCAGCCTTAACCGCACCACCTTCTACTCTAAATCTCACCGAAATGCAACTCTTAATAATTAATCGCTCGAGCCGAATGCGACGACTGCTCAGTAATATTCGGCAGAGGACCGTGGTTCAAATAATTTTACAGAAGCAGGGAGACTTTGAGTGTGGTTCGACAAAAGCAGAAATCATATTTGGAATAGAAATATCATATATTTATTATATAGCGGTCATAAGGGAGGTCGGTTTCTAAGCGTGATGGGCGCGTGCTGTTCAGGCGGGGAGCACGTGATCGACGTATGTCTCGTGACCCGCTTCGCTCTTATCCATGAAATTTCCCAATATGGGACGATTCGGATACATAACGCAAAAGGAAAAGTTAATACTACGGTTGCGCGAAAGCTAATTGTATACAGTTTTTAACTCAAATAAATTGCGGCTATAGTTAACACGAATGCCAATTTCCTCGTGAATTTTCCAAAGAAAGATAATAATACTCGCAACGCTAATGTATTTTACACTCTGACCGCATTTTACGTGAACGGTCGTATCTTGATACGTGAAACATCTAGAATATTCGCAATCTGTATTACCCTTTGCACGTGAGAAACACGTGAACGCTTTACATGCCGAACGTTCTCCTCGCACTTCCACGCGAGACGTCAAAATCTCTTTTACACGCAATTCGGATATGTTTTACACGTAACTCGATATTTTACACGCAACTCGAAGATATTTTACACGCAATTCAATATACGAGAAAACGGCGAATATTACACGCAATATATACAAAAGACGCAAGAAACACATCTTGTGGTACTCCGAGTATAGGTGAGCCACGGTCAGTTACACGTACTTGAATTCACGCGGAAATCACGTGTCACGCGAAAATCTATCGTTACACGTACGAAGCACTGGACGTAGCAATTAATGTACGAAATATTCGACTGGCCACGTATACCGAAGTATCCACGAAACGGGACTGCTGACCCGGGAAAAAAAATTATATATAATCATATATAATTATATATAAATGATCATATATAATTATATACGAAAATTGGCACGATATAATTTTATCTGATTATATATAAAAATATATAATTCTACAAATTTTTATATAATTTTACATAATTATATATAACTTTATATTAAAGTTTACTTTCAAAGGATTATATATTAAATAAAATAAATAAAATTATACATAATTTTTTATATAATAATATATAATGAATAAATAAAAACTGAAATAATTTATTTCATATATTATAACTTGGCATTGCTTGACGTGTCTCTTGATACCATTTTTATATCACTGTTTGTCAAATTTTAAATACGAGAAACGAATCCTATTGAATGCCATCTATTGGATATAATCCGAATTTAAAGTTTATATATGATTATATACAATTATATATAATCTACAACTACATGGATTCTTATATAATTTGCATGCGTACATTATTATTTTTATATCTTTGACAGATAAAATTATATATAATTATATATAATTAAGGACCTAAAATTTATGCTTCGCGCATAATCGCATAATTTATAAAAACCTATTGAAACAAACTCTTTTCACTATTCTAAGTGTTGGGACACCAGTAGAACCCGATTATTTATGCGCAAAATAACGCATAATTGAGACCTTTTGCAGCATAATGTCATTTTCCCGCATAATTTTGCATAATGTCGCCAAAAAACCATATTTTCATCATAACATATCATAATTTCACGAGTTTAATCACCTTTATCAAGTTAGCCCCCCCCCCTCCATCGTAAGAAAAATCCGCATTTATTAAAAAATTTAGTACTATTTATGTGCTAATTTATTTCTCTAGTCCGGATTTTGTTGCTCAAGCCGTTTAGCAGGAAACGGCGATCGAAATAGGGGAGCCAGCTTGTTATCAAACTAGCTCCCCCCCATATTAAAAAACACATATAGAGTGCTCAAATCCAAAAAACAAATACACCAAAATTTGTTGTTTTTTTGTTGCTCCAAGATAACGTGAAAATATTTTTAAAATATAATGTTTTTTAAAAAATAAGTATATCCGAATACTTAACAGACAGCACTATACTGACTACATCTTAAACAACGTTATATTTCCAAAATGTTTTTACGCTATCTTAAAGCAACAAATTCTGGTATAAACGTTTTTTTATTTAAGCACTCTATATATATTTTTTCGCATGGAGGGGGCCAGCTTGACACAGATTCTAGCCCCACCAGCCCACCACATGCTAAAAAACACATATAGAGTGCACAAATCCAAAAAAACAATACACCAAAATTTGTTGCTTTTTTGTTGCTTTAAGATAGCGTAAACAAATTTTCGAAATATAAGGTTCTGTAAACAATGCCACTAATAAATACTGCATCTTCGACCGTTATCTACGACTTCGATGGTTAAAAATTAAGTAAAAGAATTTATTGCTCGGTTCTTTTTGGTTTTAAAATATTTGATGGACCGTGCTCTATCAGAATATGCAACATATGATTTTGTTGCTCTCCTTTAACTGCAAATAAATAAATTATTTATCTCCGCGTCGACCATTATCTACGACTTCGATGGCTAAAAACTAAGTAAAGGAATTTGTTGCTCGAGTTTTGTTATTTAAATATTTTATGAACCGTGCCCTACCAGAATATGCAACTTACGATTTTGTTGCTCGCCCCTAACTGCAAATAAAAAATTATTTATCTTCTCGTCGATCGTTATCTATGACTTCGATGGCTAAAAACTATAAAGTAAAAGAAACTTTTACTTAGTTTTTAGTCATTGAAGTCGTAGATAACGGTCGACGCGGAGATAAA